CACGACGGAAGGGTCGTACCAAAGCGCCACCAAGAAACGCGAAACAAAACTACAAGAGCTTCATGCAAAAAAGGCCGCAGACAGCCACAAAAAACAAAAATCATGTGAACAAGAAGCTGCTCTTCTAGAGGTGTGGTTGCAACAAGAGGTCTAATCTTCCCCCGGTGTCCTCCCCCACTCTAAGCGCAACGCAAACCTCATACTCGCGAGGCCGCGGAAGAACAACACGTCCAAGCACTTTCGCTTCCCCCACTCTGAGCGCAACACAAACATCATGCCCGCGAAATTAGCTTAAAAAAGCAAGTGCCTATTCCCAACGGGCAAAACAAGCCATCCTTCCTCTGCTGCTTTTCCCACTCCAAATGGTTTCGGGAAAAGGCTCCTGGTTCCGGGAAAGCATCACACACACCCAGAGGGCGAGGCCCAGGCGAGGTCCGGGCGAGGTCCCGGGCGAGGTCAAGCGTCAGCAGAACACGCCCGTGGCAAATTGGCAGCAAAAGCGAAATGAAAACACAAGCACAAGCACAAGCAGCAGCAGCAGCAGCAGCAGCAGCAGCAGCAGCAGCAGCAGCAGCGGCACTAGCAGCAGCAGCGGCACTAGCAGCAGCAGCGGCACTAGCAGCAGCAGCAGCAGCAGCAGCAGCAGCAGCAGCGGCACTAGCAGCAGCAGCGGCACTAGCAGCAGCAGCAGCAGCAGCAGCAGCAGCAGCAGCAGCAGCAGCAGCAGCAGCAGCAGCAGCAGCAGAAGCGCAAGCGCAAGCACAAGCAGCAGCACAAGCAGGGAAAACCTTCGGGAAATCCAGGGAAAACGGCCGGTGATAGAAAAGAACGATTGTTGAAAAGACTGGAGAATCAACCCCTAGAATAAAAGAGAATGAAAGGTGATGACCTTTTTGAACCTTGGCCAAATCAGGGAAACCAAAGAGTCAACAAGGCTGGCTTTGGACCAGCGGCACGTGGAAGCCAAAAGAAACCACACATTTCGCGGGCCCTTTTTGAGACAGCCCCTGTGGCAAGTTACCGCGTGTTTGTCGCTCAGCCGTCCTTGACTTCTCATGTCCTGATGGGAAGCCTGAATACAGGCAAGCGCAGGTCTCAGAGCAATGACCCCAGATTCATAAACCTGCCCTCACTTGCCCAAAGGACCAGGAAATAGAAGGTTAACCTTTTGGGACACTTAAATCCAAACAGGGAAAGCCAAAAGGTCAAAAGGTCACCTTTGAACAACTAATTTTCCGAATGGGGCCGCGAAAGTGATGAATCCCCCACTAAACGGGTACACCCCCTATTCAGTTCAATCGGAGGGTTTCTTAATTCTGGGGTCGCCATCTAAAAGTGGGCCAAAAGAAAGAAAATCCCCCCTTCCAAAAGGGGAAGAGGAGGGTCCCCAATTCCATTTTTGCGGGGTCGTTCCCATAAAAGAGAACGTGGGATTACCATCAATGAAAAGGCCATGGGGCATAACCTCTGGCTCCATTTTGGGCTGGATGAACCTCCATTTGCCACCGCCTTTGATGTTCACCAAAAAATACCTCGCGTTTTGACCACCGCCCAACATCGGACAAATTCCGGGAGTGCCTTTGAGCAGCTCGGGGGCCCACTTAAAAGCATCAAAGGAAGCCCAAACGTTGGCTTTCCTCTTGATTTGCTGAAACCAACCAAGCCCTACAAAAAAAGAGCGTCACGGGAAATCTCAACTTCTTCCGGGGCCCGGTCCCAATAGCTCCTGGCACCTGCGCAGTACCTGCCGCAGCGCCTTCGAAGGGAGCGGGCTGGGTGACATAACCTCCCTTAGCGTGTTCGCCCCCTGGAAAAAAACTATCATACTTCCAGTAGTGATAGATTCCCTTTAAATTCAAGAATGGAAAATCAACATATTCTTAAGCAAATGGAAGATAAGGTTGACCCCACATTGATCAATCCCAGCGTGGGTGTTTCCCTCCAAAAGCCAGCAAACCCAAGACAGCCTCTATTTACATGGGGGTTGATTAATCAGGGGTCAGCTTTGCGTGGAAAGGCCTTGCAGCAAAGGAACCTGCGACAGAAGACCAAAACGGGTGGCCCCGACGAAGCCCATCTGAACAAGACCAGGGCCAAATGCACACACATTGGCTCGGAGGACCATCACTTTGACCCCCTGAAGGCTTAAGGCTTGAGGGTGTTCAAAACCGGAGCCCTGTTTGCGGTTTGGCTGGGTATGCAAGTTAGGGGTTGGTTTCCCAGAACTTCATCAGCTGCCACTTGTTTGGTGCTTTGGCTTGGCTTGGTTTTTCGCGCCTACCTCTTCTTTTGGCTTCAAAAGGATCTGGGGTTATCCCGGCAAATTCAAACCGCCAGGCTTGGTTGCTGTCGACCCCCCTGCAAAAAGTGAATCACTTTTTGGGGGTTTGGTGGAAAACACCTTTAAAGCCCAAAAAGTTCAAGTCTAAAGATCCAACCCCAATAGCAGTCAAGCAGCTAAGGATTGCCTGAGATCAAGGCTTGCTAAGAATTCTGCAAATCCGTGCCCGCGCCTTGCCAGCCCAGGCGCTTGCTTGGACAAACGAACAAGCGGGGATACGGAGGAAGCGGGGATATGGGGATATGGATTCCAACTTGGCGCCGGTTCCCATATCAAACTTAGTCCAGGTGCATCAAACGCGGGAACATTTTCGTATCCAACTGGTTCCCCCTGTATCCCTACTTGGCTTCCCTGCGCACGCGCACGGATCGCACGGGCTGTTTTATTACTCGCAGCAAGATTCGAGGGCCCGGAGTCCGCTACACGATGAGCGTCCCGCACACGAGAACTTGAAGTGAGACATTCGGGTCCCTATGGAAAGTAGGGAACGCGTTTTCAGATGGCTTCCACCTGGCAGCCAGACCACTCCTCCTGGGAAGAAACTCAGATGCCCAGTGGCCATGGGAAAAAAAAGGGCAGCCTTTCTTGGTTGGTTCAGTTTAAAGGGGAACCGTGATCCAAAAAAGCAAAAACAAACAGACACTACTGGGCAAACAGAGGAAATGGGGGAAAGCACCCTGGCTGTAGATAAAATTTCTGGGAGGCCTGGTCTGGGGCAAGCGGAAAGCATGGATTTCTGCTAGCTTGCAATTGGAAACAACAGCGCACCGCCCGCCCAAAAACAAACAAGGCACAGCCACAGTAAAAACCAATTCTGCCACTATTGCTGCTGAGGGGCTTGAAAAACGCCGAGCCCTGCCTAGTCCAAAGCCAGAAGCAAAAAAGCTTGAGCCCTTTGCAACGCCCCTGACTCCCTGACCCTCCGCTGGGCCGTTTTGGGGTGAACTTTGGGCGGGCGGCTCGGGTCGCGGCCTGTGTCTGGACGCCGCCGAGCTGGTGAATCCCAAGCCTTTTTGGCCCGAGCTGTCGACTGGTCGACTGGCAGGACAAAAGCAAAGGGGGCCGTCTCACAATAGTCGCCCCGAAGCCAAAAAACCAAACATGGCTTACCGTGTTTCGCTGAAAACCAAACCCTAAAATGGCAGCCTCAAAGACACAGCCGTATCAATCAGTCCGTGGCATGCCAAATGGCAGCCTCTTAAATGACCTGCCAAGCTGAATCATGACCTAGATCACTACGGTCAGAGTGGCTATGGTTTGCAGCCGCTCGCAGCTATCACCCACCCAGGCCTAAAGATCAGCCAGGCAAGCCGGCCGTTGCTTTTAATCTTTTGTCCGAAGCTTCGTGGGTTCAATGCCTTTGCACGGCAGAATAGGTCTGCAACTGAAAGACGATGGATGGTTATTCCTAATCAAATGAAGACTATTGCAGGGCGAAACAAATTGATTTTCGTCAGCCTCTGCTCTAAAAGCTCTGAAGCCTTCAACATTGACTTGCCCGCAAGGCAACTGATACCGGCAGCACTTTGTGAACAACTGCTTTCGTAAACCATTGTTTCAAACATGATGCCGATCCTAGCCATTCATAATGAATTAAATCACAAGTCTCTACCCACAAGGTTTAAATTTCTCCCTCTCTCCACATATCAGTCAGATGTGCTCATTGCATCTTTATACCTGGGTGGGCTGGTTTTGGTGCGAGCTTCGGGGGCGTGTTCGTGGTGTACGCCCAGCTCGATTGCCACACTGCACCCGCAACGAGACTATTGGTGGCCCTCGCAACGCCCGCTTCGGAGCTTGCGGGCCTGTTGGCTGCAAACGCCGTTTCAGGATCTGCAGCTCTCCGCGTTCTTGCGCTGCCTAGACGCTTCGCGCCCGGGCATCCAAAAACGTACACCCCACGCCCCGCTTTGCGCTGACAACAGCTGCGACAACCGTCAGCTCACAACCAAGAGCAACACAAAGGCAGTGTGACCTGTCATGTCAGGCGCTGGGTGAGTGCTGTGCCATGCGCCAAAGTGAGCCAGGCTGAAAAAAGGACAGAGCCGCCGCAAGAGGTCCTTGGCAAAAGCTTCACATAACTTGGCGCCCTCTTGCAGACTCCTTTCGCAGCCCTGCAAATCGCGTATTTCAGGTGGCTTCGCCCACTGGCGCTCTCGCTGTGCCATGTTTTGCGGGTGTAGCATGTGCCTTGAGCAACTGCGTCATTTGCTTTCTGAGGACCTCGTCATGTTTGATGCTCCCGCCTTGGGGGGCGCTAAGCCTGAGGCACACCAAAAGCGCACCTTTCTTGCTACTCCCGCAAAACCGGATCCACCCTCAAAGCGTGCAACCGAACCAAGTGACGTTTCACGCCCGCTGGGGTACATGCAACGCATATCCTCCAGGGCATCAAATTTTGCTCTCCAACTGCGGGGCAAATTTCGCTGGCACGTCATGGAATTCATGAACGCGCTGCAAAAAGGCGCAGCTGTTTCCGCTTTGGACACCTCTTTGCTGGAGAACGCGGCCAAGAAAATGACAACTCCTCTTTGGAACCATCTCTCTTTCGCGGAAAAAACCTAAAAACTCGGCTTACCAACTCCAGCCCAAGGCATCTGGGGGACCACCAAAGCAGCCCGGTCGCGGCAGTGCGACCGGGCGAAGCTGGAGCGGCGCCTCAGGGTTCTCCAGCACCGATGGGCTGTCCGGGCACCAGATCGGTCCGGCAGAGCGGGCACGTGCGGTTCACGTTGAGCCAGCCCTTCAAGCCTCAAGGAAAAGTCCCGGACCGCCTTTACATCCATATGTTCACCTTTGAAACCATGGCAGGCATTTGAAGGCAACTGGCCTTTCCATTGAACCTACCAAAGGTGATCGAACTTCAACGAAACGACTCGGAGAAACAGATATATATATATATATATATTAGAAAAAAAAGAACAATAACAAACAACACGAAGAAGAAAAACACACATTTCGTTGGTAGACTGCCGACAAACATCAATTACACAATAAAATAGATTTACGTGCGGGCTTCCAGTACTAGTTCAGGAAAACGTTCGTCTAGTTCATCCAACAAAAACCCTGATAACACGCACACCCACCTACCCAGCCAACAATGTCTCTGTGTATGTATGTATGTTTGTTTGCTTGTTTGCTTGCTTGATTGTTTGTTAGTTGTTGCTCTTTCTTTCTTTCTTTCTTTCTTGTTTGTTTGCTTGCTTGCTTGCTTGCTTGCTTGTTGTTTGTTTGTTTGTTTGTTTGTTTGTTTGTTTGTTTGTTTGTTTGTGTGTGTTTGTTTGTTTGTTTGTCTTGTTTCCGCCTGTGCGTGAGGCATGCGTCCGTGTGTGTGTGTGTGTGTGTGTGTGTGTGTGTGTGTGTGTGTGTGTGTGTGTGTGTGTGTGTGTGTGTGTGTGCGTGTGCAACTCACCTCCCCCCCTCTCTCTTTCTCTCGCGCATCCCCCCCGCGCCAAAATTTTCCGAGCGGCAGGTTGTGTGGTAGCAGTGCCCGCACAAGGTCTTCCGGATCTCCTTCTGCGAGCTCCACTCTTCGAGGCAAATCGAGCAGGAGGGGTTGTCGCCTCGGTGTCAGTTGAATGAGCCTGGCGGCCCTGACCCAGAAGGAGCACCTGTCACTTTTTTACCCAGCACAGCCAGGCGCCTTAAAAAAAATACGCCCTTTGTTTGAGGAGGTGGTTCGCAAGAGTTGGACACATGGCTGTGGGTCAAAAATCGGTATCCCAAATGGAACCCTGGTAAGTGGAAACATGGACTAAAGCCTGCGGTCCCCTAGTGGTTTAATTAATGTTGACCCATACCCACATGGAGGTGGCCGTCGTTGTTTGAAGGTTCTTGGGGATGGGGCGTACTTGTGTTTGCTGCTTGCGCAATTCGGACGCACTGCCTTGTCACAAGCCTTGCTTGGGAGAGCGCGCTGCAAGCTGGTGAGTCGTCCTTCACATTTGCCATCGTGTGATTAATAATTATTCCAAGAAGTACTTGAACCATTCCTGACGCAACGGAATGAACACGTTATGTTTCTCTTGGTCCAAACGTGGCTGCCAAAATGAGGGATCTTCAAGTAGAGGACCGGAAAAGAAAGGCGTTCGCCCGTGAGAACAAAAAAGGAATTTCTGAAACTGCTTGCAGTAAAACTGTCATAATCAAACGAAACTGCAAGCAGGTGTAGGCACTAGCCACTAACAAGCCAGAAGCCACCCACCAACCACCTGACCTCTGACCACTAAACACCTAGGTCTTCACTGAGAAGCAAACTCAACCTTTCTGAGGCTCCGTGGGAAGGTTGGCTTCCAAAAGATCCGCCAAATCCATCGCAGGAAATGTTCAATTATACAGAATTTGGGCGATTAGAACTACTTTTGGGTGCCGGTCCCCCTTTAAAGAACCAGTTTGTAACGTTTCGAATGCAAATTTGGGCGGAGGTCACTTCAAGAGGGTTCCTTGAAGGATACGTCCGAACACCACCTGCTCTACACACATTGAAACTGGGTTGAAAGTGTGTTTGTTGCCATGCCAATTCGGAACCCCTATTGGGAAACATCTACCCAAAACAACCCACAGCCCCGGCTGAACTGGTCCATATGTTGCAAACACATGCAACCCCAAGTAAAGAACCCACACCATAATAAGCTCGTTTCCCCGGCTCAGTCGCTCAAATTGGCAGTATCAATTCGGGACCCTACTTGGATTAGCAAGTGGTTGGCCAACCCACTAGTAACAGGGTTAGTTCCAATTGAACCGGGGGACACATGAGTGTATAACCTAGGTTGCCGACAACTTACTAAGACAAATCGAGCACCCAAGGCAGACTCAAACCTGAGATCCCCTCTATCTTCTGGGGGAAGGGCCCCGGGGGTCCCCAATTTCATTCCTCTTGTCTTCCATTAAAAAGGAACATGGGTTGCCAGACATGGAGAGTACCCCCTCCAAATCCCATCGATTTGTTCCTCGGCCCTGGAGGGTCCAAGTACCTGCTGAGGATGGCTTTTGGGGACCTCCTTGCTGGGACCCTCTGGGAGGCCCAAAGGAAAATCCTTTCATTCCTCCTTACTGGGGTCTTCCCAGAAAAGAAAAGAAACATGACAATGGGTTGCCAGAAATGGAGATTACCCCTCCAAATCCCATCGCCAAAGTGCCGAAGTCGTGCTGCCCGAAGATCACCACCTCCTGCTTTTCAACGGTGCCCTTTGGAGCCGCGTTCTCCTGAGGGCCAAAAGCACATCCTTTACCCCCGTGGATTTCAGCGGGTGAAAACACAGAAAAGCATTTTGTGTTCTTGCTGATAGTTGATTCTAAAGGAAATCCTCTCCAAAACAAAGAGCGGGGTGGGCGGGGGAGAGGTACCCTGAATGTGGAAGGGGTGGGGACAAGCCATAGTGGAACCCCCCTCCCCCAACTTTCTGTGATTCCATGACAACAAAGAATCACTTCAAGAATTCCGGCATGGCCTTGGCCCATTTATGGCCTCCCAGCCAAAGGGTCCTTTCGGACGTCATTTTTTCTTGGCATTTGGTGCATGGAACAAGTGGAGCCTGCGGGTCCCCAAAGCCTTCCTTCGAAGGCTACTTTCTGGGAAGAAACCCACTGCGCACTTCCTCACTTGCTGAGTGGATGGCCCAAAAAAAGTCCAAACTTTATATTTACCACTAAAATGGTCTTCCCAAAAAGTTTAAAGTTCATGAACTCAGGAAATGAGCTTCCATGCATGTTGGAAATAGGGCGCCCTGACAAATGAACCGGAACTCCCAAAAGGCTGGCCATCTCGAAATCTCGGGATCGTTCGCGGCGATGCTTTTTGGCCGATTGTACGGTCCCGGTGTTTCGGTTCACCACAAAAAGGGGGGGCTACCAACTCCAAAAAAGACACGCCCACTTCAAACTTCCGGACAAGTCCCAACGCCCACGCCGCAAATTACTTGAACAGTCCCCAAAAATGATTGATTTCCTTGTGGCCTCCCTTCAAATGTCAGCCTTCAAATCCTAATTGTTTGCATCTTAAAATGGGGGACCCCCCCGGTTCCTTTAAGCTTTTCCTTTGAAGCCACGTACGGGTACCCAGCCTCGAAACATAAAACCACCGCCACTCATATCATGCTTGTTCTTTCTGGCCTCATTATGTTACCATGGTCAAAGTCACCCCCTAAGTGGTGGGGTACAGGCAAACAACCCCCATGTCTGACTTTTTTATAACCCCCAGAAACCGTCAAAAGAATGACCCCTGTCTTTTTGTTGCTCGCTGAGGTGCCGCTGAGTGGAGCATGCCATGCCTCATCATGTAGGCCAAGATGACCTGTAGCCCTACGGCGTTGATGAGGAACCAGACCGCGATGAAGAGCCCGCAGCCTCGCTCGCTGGTGTGTTGGTGCCAGCCCGGCGGCCCGAATTTGGGGTTTCGGAAGATCGACTTGGATCACCTGGCTTTTGGGCTTTAAAAATGGAAAAATATGGAAACATGTTTGGGGATGGCACTGGGGAAGGCGCTAGCTTGAGGGTCTCACTTCCCGAGTTCCTGGACTTTCCACCTAGTGGCAAACAAAGAGTTTGGTTACTTTTTTGGCCAATCCACTCAGGAGCTATAGGCTTGCACGTGTTGAATGGTTAAAGGCTGCCTCACAAAGCCAAAAGTCAAATTGCAACCCTTGAAAAGCTTCGCCCAACAGATTCCTATTTACGACCCACCGCCAACATGCACATGGCCTCTTAGGAGGGTCTAAAGATGCACTTTCAACAAGCTCTAACTGCAAGTCCTGCACAACCAAGGACAATTCGCGCAATGTTCCATTCATCGATCGGAAAGGGTTGGATCCAACGAAAAAAGGTGGGTGTGTTCCCGTGAAGGTACCTGTTTTGGGGGCCCCACAATGTTTGCGACATGGCGAGTAGAACTTCTTCCGGGTGCGTGGTGTGCCCTCATGCACCGTTAGGAAGGAAGGTAGGGTCGCAATGCTGGGCTTGGGCATGAGAACCACTGAGGCCCGGGCTGGCGAAGGCCAAAATGGAGTGGTAGACGTCCGGCATGATGCTCTGACACGTCTTGGAGGTCGCGGCCAGGACGATGCCGGTGATGTTCCACACAAAGTCAAACGTCGGAAACAGCCTCGGGGCGCCAAGTCGGCCGCTGGCGCGGATTTTCCCAAAATCCGTCAGCCCAGTGGCGCCCACATACGAGTTGTCCTTTTGGTTTGCCGCTATTTTTAAAAAAAAAAAGTCTCCAAAAAAAGGGGCCACCCAAAAAATGGGCTCGGGTGTCAAGTCGGAAACAAAAGGCAGAATGGAGGTCCTTTGGCATGAGGTCGCTGGAGAAATTGCCAAGTTCAACATTCCTTCACTTGTGATGCCAGACTAAGGGTGAAAATGCGTGCAAATGCCCTTGCAGCAGCAAGCAAACATCACTTAAAATCAATGCGATGTGTCGTAATTTGGCTGTGGCCTCAAGCACAACTTGCACTCATGCCAGTCGCCAAGCCGACTGCAGTGGGCGTGCTTGCCCCAAGGAAATCGGGACCTCTACAACAAGTTGACCAACAAAAAGAGAGGGAAAATCCGAAAGTCGAAAGGTCGGGTGTTTGGCAACTGAGGGGGCCAACACGTTGACCAAAAAGGCAAAATCCGAAAGTCAAAAGGTCGGTTTTTGGCAACTGAGGGAGCGCAGCATAGCGCAGCCAAGGTGCAAGTTGTACAACTTCACGTACCACGGGGGCGGCGTGGGATGCTCGCGGGCATCGTACTTGCAAACGCACCGGATCACTAATCTGTGCAAGAAGAACCTGAGCGCGGCGAAACGACAGCTGAAGAATCCCAACACCCCCCGGCATCTGTCGACCACTCGGAAAACTCATGCAGACCAGTTGCATGTAGACCTTGATGATGTACCTTTGCCCGACAACGAAGGACAGGTGAGTCAAACGGAATGGGCTGGCACATGAATGAATGCCAAGCTGCACAACCGTCACCCACTCAATAAGTGGCGCGTCGCAGCTCAACTGCTCGTTCCTGGCCCAGTGTTGCTTGGTCAGCCAACCGGGAGGAGACGCTTTTGGACTGCCTAGAATACCTCACTTGCCCAAAGGACCTGCAAATAACAGGTTAACCTTTTGGGACCTCTACTAAAAAAAGACCAAAAAGGGAAAACCAAAAGGTCAAAAGGTCGGCTTTGAACAACTGAGTACTGGTTCGCTGAGGCAACCTTCATGCTCCGAGCAAACCCTGCATGTGGGAAACCCCGACGACAGCAAACGCGCGCCTTGCATTGCTCCAACCTCGGGCGCTCCGGGAAGGGAAGCAGCTGGAATGCAACGCCCGTGTTCTTGCGACGGTATCTTGGCTAGGTCCTGCAGTAGAGAGGCTAGAATAAGGGTACCCTCTCTTTTTTCCCCAAACAGCGAAGCATTGGGGTCCTAACTTGAGGTACAGAGAATGGGAAAGTGTGACGCCGGTTGCTGTGACGCTGGCTCCAGGGTCGTGTCTCCCGCTTGTCTTCCTGTGTCTCCCAGTCTGTGCGGTCCAGATGCTGTGATGTCTTCCTGTGTCTCCCAGTCTGTGCGGTCCAGATGCTGTGACGCCGGCTGATGCTGTGACCGCTTGTCTCCCTGTGTCTCCCAGTCTCTGCGGTCAGATGTCAGATGCTGTGACGACGGCTCCGGGGTCGTGTCTCCCGCTTGTCTTCCTGTGTCTCAGTATGTGCGGTCCGTCTCCCTGTGTCTCCCAGTCTCTGCGGTCAGATGCCAGATGCTGTGACGCTGGCTCCAGGGTCGTGTCTCCCGCTTGTCTTCCTGTGTGTCTCCCAGTCTGTGCGGTCCAGATGCTGTGACGCCGGCTCCGGGGTCGTGCCAGTCTCTGCGGTCAGATGCCAGATGCTGTGACGCTGGCTCCAGGGTTGTGTCTCCCGCTTGTCTCCTGTGTCTCCCAGTCTGCGCGGTCCAGATGCTGTGACGCCGGCTCCGGGGTCGTGCCAGTCTCTGCGGTCAGATGCCAGATGCTGTGACGCTGGCTCCAGGGTTGTGTCTCCCGCTTGTCTCCTGTGTCTCCCAGTCTGCGCGGTCCAGATGCTGTGACGCCGGCTCCGGGGTCGTGCCAGTCTCTGCGGTCAGATGCCAGATGCTGTGACGCTGGCTCCAGGGTTGTGTCTCCCGCTTGTCTCCTGTGTCTCCCAGTCTCCGCGGTCAGGTGCCAGATGCTGTGGTCAGATGACGCCGCCTCCGGGTCGTGTCTCCCGCTTGTCTTCCTGTGTCTCCCAGTCTGTGCGGTCCAGATGCTGTGACGCCGGCTGCGGGGTCGTGCCAGTCTCTGCGGTCAGATGCCAGATGCTGTGACGCTGGCTCCAGGGTTGTGTCTCCCGCTCGTCTCCTGTGTCTCCCAGCCTCCGCGGTCAGGTGCCAGATGCTGCGGTCAGATGACGCTGGCTCCAGGGTCGTGTCTCCCGCTTGTCTCCCTGTGTCTCCCAGAGACTGGGGTCAAATGCCAGATGCTGTGACGCCAGCTCCGGGGTCGTGTCTCCCGCTTGTCTCCAGCAGAGCCCAACCAGCCAGACTGCTGGCATTTGCGAGTAGGCAATTGAGGGTTTCTTGTAGACCTTGCCTCCTATCTTGTTGCCAGTATTTAGCACCTTCTCAGCTGGATAGGATAGCCATGTGGCCCGGCCAAAATCATATCCAGTCTTTCGCTTCGCTAGCTGGTCCCGGCCAAGCTGCTGGTGTCCACTGTGCAGCCAGCAGTGGAGCAGGGCTGGAGCTCACGTTCAAAGCCAAGCTTGTTCTAGAATGGAGCGGCGTTGGGCGCATGGAGCAAAGCCATGCATTGGCCATCTTGGGGGCATGCGGCGCGCTGGACACGACAGAGATGAAGGCCCTGGGTGACCAAGCTACTGCCGGCTCAAACACTGAGGATTTTCTGGAGCTGTGCCGGGTGAGAGAGGTGCGCGCCAAACGGGCACCTTTGTGACGCTTGCCAATTTGGCGCGGCGTGTGTTTGCGTTGCTAGGCGAGGATGTCCCGGCCGTAACGCTACAAGGCGCAGTCTGCAAGTTTATGCAAGTGCTCTCATGCTTTGCTTGTGGCAAGACCTTTAGCCGAGCTCGAGAAGAAGATGGCAACCAGAAGTGGCATGTGTCCAGTCTCGGCCGCAAGCTGCTGAGACTGATGCGCAAGTTTCAGCAAGTAGCGAGACGGCCACCAAATGCTGCGGCGATGGAAAAGTGCATTGAGTGTCCGTAGTACTACGAAAGTTTCTTCGAAACTTCCTTTGATTAATGCCAGGTGTTTGGTTGATTCACCCGGAATCCCCCGGGGCCTTCCCTCTCGAACATGGCATTGACATGGCAATTGTTCCTCGAAGTCGATGAACAACATCGATGCTTTTACCCGGCGTCAAGGAGATGGATGAACCCGATGTGTCCTCTTCCCAAAAAAGGGGACTTCCTACAGGGACATACATGGACTGATTGTAACTGTGTGTTGCTCACATAAGCTACTCAATTTCGCACCTTACATGAAGGAGACAAGACTTTTTTGGGTTATACAGACCTGTCATGCTTTTTTGCTGTTTGGGGTCGAGGCTGGTGTATTTTTTTTTGTTGGGTGTAGTCTATTCTAGTAGGGGCTTGCCCTCCCAACCAAAAAAGTTGGTATAAGGGAACTACTGGGGGACCTAGTGGGTGTGGCTGCAAATGCAGCCCAAAGAGCAGCACCCTTTTGAGGTTCGACACATACTGTGGATGGACGAAATCCATTTCGCACCACCTACTGGGGCCACGGCTAAAGACCAGCCAAATGAGCAGCCCGAAGGACGTGAAGCCGACCACGCAGAGGGTGCACATGAAGCAAAGGACCCATCGAATGATGTGTGCCCTGGGCATCGGACCACGCAACTGGGTCTCTGGGATCTGGGTTCAGAGTCTGTTTGTTCAGAGTCTGTTTCACATTTGGCTGTGGCTCAAAAAAGTGGTAGCAAAATGGCACCAAAAGGTAAATGGAACCAAAGACTAAAACCTGCGTAGCCGTAGCTCTTGAATTTTGAGCCATACCCATTTAGGCTACCCTCCCACCTAACATGGAAGTGCACAGACCCCTTTAGAAGGACTATTTTTTTGTTGGGAAGGGCTTTCTTGCACTTACATGTCAGTTGGTGGGAGGGTACCCTTCAAAAAATAACTAACATGGCACCTATGGGGAGGTACCTGGTAGATGAATTTCCTCTTGAAGGGACCCCCTGTCAGGTGCCATGTTCGTGGGAGGCAGGGTACCCTAAATAAAAAGGCACTTAGAACCATCCCTGCCAAGATTTGCGCCGCAGTCTTCCTTTAGTCTCGCACACCTGTTCGGCCAGCCGCCCCCGCCCAATGATTTAAACATGCAGTTTAAATACGCATGGCTTGGAGGTTGCCTGCGCTGGTGTTAGGCGGATTTTCGGTCAAAAAAAACAAACAAAAACTAACAACCCCATCTGACGGGTAGGGAATAAAAACTCTTTGGAGGAGACCCCAGTCAAGTTGTGATGTTTTGCAACACGTTGCGCAAGGACAGATTAGGGGGTGTCAAGGAGCAGTTGGGATGCATTACAAGATGCAAGGTCTTGATATTGCATGGCTGGGGACAGCATCTTCATTGTAATGTGTCGCGTGCGATTCACCTACAATATTCAGGTCGTCAGATATCCGTGCAGGGTGACCCCCTTCCCTTTCCGTCCGATTGCAATCTTCTGGTCCTGCGTTGCCAGGTCCGGGAATCACAGAGTCACGCTGGCCAGATCCTTGTTCAATCATATCGGGTCCCCCCTAAAAAAAGTGACAGCTGTTTGCCAGTCGGAAGGGAAAAACATGGTAAGCCCAAAAGTCAAACAAGGCAAGGTAGGTTAAGTCCGGCCATGCCATGAGCTCACCTTGGCCAAATCCAGGGTCCCTGGATTTTTCCATTGAAACTATCGCCCACTTTGTGGAGGCACAACTTGCTGGCAGGGAATGTGGGAATGAACCGCTTGGGTCCCCTGAAAGTTGGATGGTTTAGTTCGGGCTCATTCCATTTCTCATTCTCTGCTTACCGCACCAGCAAGACGAAGGAAATCTGCTGTTTCCCCTGAGTTTGATGGTTTCCTGAAAGATTCGGATCCCTGGAAGAATGGAAATGGAAGCTTCCCCTACTTGTGGAGGCTCCAAGAAAAACATGCAACGATCCCCAAGGATGCTCAACCAACACAGGTTATACCCATGATTATGACTTGGGTAACTGGGGTGATCGTCCCAGCAAGACAAAGGAAATTTGCTGCGTCATTGGGTGTTTGATGGTTTCCTGAAAGATTCGGATCCCTGGAAAGAGTAAATGGAAGCTTCCTCTACTTTTGGAGGCTCCAAGAAAAACGAGCAAAGATCCACAAAGATGCTCAACCAACATAAGCAGGTACCCATACCCATGTCCAGTCGCTGTTCACATGGGGTGACCGTCCCAGCAACACAAAGGGAAACGCAGGAAACCCCCGAACTCTGCCCCCCGAAAACCGCCCAACCCAAGCGCTCCGTCGCGCCTGAGGGCCTCGGCGATGCGGGCCTGCACCTCCAAGGCGTCCACTTGCCTGGAGGACCAAATGGGGAGGCACACAAAAAACGCGTGAGCCATGGTCAATGTAGAAATTGATATATATATATATATATATGTGTGTGTGTGT